AGAGAATTTTGTACGATATTCCTAATGTTTTATAGTAAGTAGCTATAGATGTTGAGCTCAAACTGATCTTTCTAAAATGTGGAATGAATTAGGAGAATAAGTAGTTGGTTTAAAAAGAAAAACTGCTGTAAACTGGCACACTCTTGTAATCCAAGCTACTTGGGAGGCTAAGGCAGGAGGATCACAAGTTTGAGACTAGCCTCAGAAATTTAGAGAAAATTAACCTAAAAAGGCTGGCGATGCAGCTCAGTGGCAGACCCTTTTGGGTTTAATCCCCAGTACCACAAAACAAAATTACTAGGGAACAGGGAAGGGTTGGGGATTTTAAATAAGGGAGTGAAATCTCACTTGAATCTTTCTTACCTTCTATTGTTTCTGGATAGAAAAGGGAACATGTTTCCCCACACCCATCCTTTCCCCTCACCCACCCACACCCATCCTTTCCCCTTAAAATGACCTGTAAATATTGGAGGCTGGCAAGAATATAACCTCGACTACAGGTATTTAAAACAAGAAGTTTAGGCAGAAATTCTCTTGCCCAGAAAGTCAACGATAGCAGTTTGGGACTGTTGCAGCTGTTCAGATCATTCAGCATTCCCCAAGGCTGCTCTGCCATGTCAGGTGTCAACTCTGTGGCATGATTAACTTGAGGGTACCAAGTACACCTTTAAGCCAGACTCCGACTTGCAGATAAGATCTGGGTGGGAGGAAAGACTTTGCTGGAAAGAGGCTTGGTCTTTTTAATTCCCTGCAGAAGCCTCACGGTGGTGCCCAGCTGTAATCCTGTGACCCTGAAGGGTGAGACAAGGACAGTTTGGCCAACTTGGTGAAACCTTGGAAAGAAAGAAAGGAGGCAAGGAAGAGAGACAAAGAAACGGGGGGATGGGGCGGATAGCCAATTCACTGGATACTCTGCAGAAACTGCAAGATTCATCAGGACGAGTCCAGTCAACTTGCCACCGACAATGAAAAAGACATAACTCAAATGGGGCCAGGGTTATGGCTCAGTGGCAGAGCGCTTGCCTAGCATGCATGAGGCACTGGGTTCAATCCCCCGCATCACATAAAAACAAAGGTATTGTGTCCAACTAAAAATGTTTTTTAAAAAATACATAACTCAGAGATAAATAGAAGTAGAC